AGGTCTGGTCGTCGTGGGCGCCGTCGCGGGGAGGTGGGGCACAGTGCCTATGTTTGAGCTTCACCGTAGCCGAGGCAGAGGCCCAGGGAGTGGACGGGACGGGAGGTTAAGTCGTCGTGGGAGCCAGCGTGGGGAGGTGGGATGAGTCTCTCTCTCGTGCTTCTGCACCGGGCCCTGACGGGGGGGCCGCGTGCCCCCTAAGGGTCCTGATCGGCCAGCGCTGCCCTGCGCAGTGTGCGACAGTCGCTGCGCAGCTTCGTTGGAGCTCAGCCGCGTTCGAGTACGTTGTCTTGCTGTTGCAGGCGCTCCCACGCACAGCCCGGCCATATTGTGCAGCAGCGCGTCTAGGATTGCACATATCGCAGGGATTTCATGAACAGGTCTTGGTATTGGTCTCCTTTTGCTGCTCCTCCTGCTGCTGCTCCTCCTCCTCCTTACCCTCCCTATCCTCCTCATTCTCATCCTCATCCGTCTTCTCTCCTGCGCGGCTGAGGGCCGACGGCCGAGACGCAACACGCACACGCTCCTCCGCCTCACGGCTCCTGCTCGCGTTTCGCTCCCCATCTCGTGTCCCCCGTCCATCCTCGTCTCCATCCCTCCTCTCTTCCCCCCTCCCCCCCTCCCTCCCCCGTCCTTCCTCCCTCGCTCCTCCCTCCCTCCCTCCCTTCTCGCCATCGTTCATCCTTCTCCCTCCCTCCCTCCCTCTTTCCCTCCCTCCATCTCCCCTGTCTGCCGCGTCGTCCCCCCCTCCTCGGTCCCTCCTCGCTCCCTTCCCTCCCCCTCTCCCTCGTCCCTTGCTCCTCCGCCCTCCTCCCCCCTCGCTGCCTCGAGCGGAGCCGCCATGGGGCAGCCAAAAGTTCCCCCCCCCCCGGCCCTTGACCAGGCCCCCGCCCGCCCAGGGCCGCCCGTGCCCGCCACTGGCGCGGCCGCGCCAGGACGCCGCCGGACGGCCTCGGCTCGCTCGCGGGCCCGGGCCCTTCGGACGGGGCCAGGACGAGGACGAAGTACCCAGGCCTCCACCCTGCGCCATTTTCCAGTATTTGGGGGGGGGGCTCCTGGGAGGCCCTCGCCGCCACCCTTCTATTCGCCTCGAACTTCTGGGAAGAACGCACCCTAGGAGAGGCCCAGGGAGTAGCAGTATCGGTGCGTTCTGATTTCCCCCGCGACGAGGGTGAATCCGCCCCCGGGCGTTCCAGAACGCTCTCAGAGCGTTTTAGAACGCTCTAGGAAGGCCGCGGTGCCCTAGACATCCTCCACAGCGGCCGGATCTCGGAGATTGCCGATTTATTTTCACCCGATCCTATCCTCGTCCTGGCTCGTGTTAGTCGTCGGCAACGCCAGGGGGGTATATTTGTTGCCGCTTGGTTTTTGTGTTGGGGCTAATTTGTATCCTTCGCCAACTGGCTTCTCTCTCCTTCGCCTCTTCTCCTCTTCTTCCTCCCTCTTCTCGGCGCGGCGCGCCCGAGCAGTAATCGTCGCGGGTCGCTTTTGGTGTCTTCTTGCTTTTGCTCTGCGTCTCTCCCCCAGGCCAGGGTTCTCTCTTGTTGCAGGTCGGCTTGTGGGGCAAGCTCCCCCAGAAACGTGTCGGCACCGCGGTACGAGTGGACCCGGCGCTCGGACGATGTTCGGGAGCAGTCGAAAGTTCCTGGAAGTTCTCGAGGCCCGGGCTGGTTGTTCCATCGGCTGCGCCTCGTCGAGGGCGCTCCAGGGCGAGCCGGGCTCTCGCCCCGACTGGCCGGCAGAGGGCCGAACCACGGCCCGAAGGCCAAGGGGCAACGTTGCAGCTGCGGAGGACGACCAACGGAGATGAAGCAAGCAGCCAAATACTGTGAAGATGTCTAAAACATGTTTCAGACACGTTTGAAACATGTACAAAGCATGGCTGGAACATGTTTAGAACATATTTTACACAGTTTAAACACATCTTTAATTCAATGATAGGATTGTTAGAGGGTCCATTGTCATGGCATCCACAACGCTAACAGGGGGGAACTCAGGGGGGGATGCGCCGACACCCAATCGCCGATTGATCGCCGCTGTTCAGGAGCGGAAGAAGGACGTACACGTACATGAGTCACGCTGGTTTCGAGAGTACGCCTTGCGCAAATGCTCGTGTAACGCGGCCGGTCTCGCGGATCGAGGGGCCGTGTTCGTGTACACAGCTGGGCGTGTATGTCCTCTGTGGGCTCCCTCGCTGTGGGGATCCGATGGCCCACCACGTCCAGGAAGGTGGGCGCCGCTGTCGGGGCCCTGTCGCCGATCTGTCGCCAGCGGATCGCCGATTCCAGCCCGACGCTTCCCCGCTTGGCGGGCCCCCTCATCGTGAAGTCCAGCACATCCCTCTGCACGAGGAATCTCCAGAAGTAGTCAACACATTAGCCAGGGGACGATTTTGGGACGATGGTGGGGTACTGTTCGAGTGTGTCTGCATATGTTTGGGTATTTTTCATTCTTCGTTCAAAGTCCGCCTGTAGGGGAAATGCCCGACCCGACCCTGTCGTCACCCCTCGCTGGGGGCCCCCCCGCCCCCTCTCACGAGCACATGTCAGGAGGGGGAAAAAAACACACGGACACAACTAATCGTCGACTCCCAGGAAAATGTGGGAACATGTGAAAAGCGGGGGGGGAGACAAAAACCCAGAAAATATTGGAAAAATATTGGGAATCTTTCTATTTGTGTGTATTTATTGGTGTGTCCTGGGGCCCCTGTAACATGGGCGGCGCACGTGTCCACGTCTCTGCGCCCTCGAGGTCCGGGCTCCTGGGGGCGCGCTCCCGCGAGCGCGCGGCCGCGCGGAGGCGCTCCGCGCGGGGCACTCCGCAAAGGAGCGCCCCCGTCGCTGCCCACGGGGCGCGTACCTCGAGCCCGCGGATGTGGATGCAGGGCCCGGCCCACGGCCCTCTCCTCCTCCTCCTCCTCCTCCTCCTCCTCCTCCTCCTCCTCCGCGGCCAGACCTCCGACGTGTTGAGATCATGGCGGCGGCAGGCACTGGGCAAGACACGCGCGCGCTCCGGCGGCGGTGGCCTTCACGCTTGGCCAAGGCTCGGCTGCCGTGGCTGTCTGGCTGCTTGCCCAGCGGGTTCGAGCAAGAACACAGTTGTCCAGGGATGCTGTGCCTCCCGTCGCCGCTGTGGCGCCGATGCCGAGAAGGCAACGCAGGACAGTGCATCCACCAACCAGCCCCAACGTGCCAGACGGATGCCAGGCGTGTTGAGATCGTAGCGGCGGCTGTTCCCCGCTTTCGGCGTCCGAGTGGGCCCTCGGCCCCGGGCCCCGGAGGCCGTCGCAGAAAACGGCCGCTCAGAGGACGAAGCGCCGGCTGGCCACGGGGACAGGGTCGGGCCCTTCGGGGGACCCTGTCTTGAATTAAGTCGGGCATGTTCGTCTACAGTAGGAGGAATCTGTGTAAGAAGTACACCGGAGAAAACCATATTCAGTGGATGGTTTGAAATGGGATCGATAAAGAGATCGATAAGGAGATCGACCGGGAACCTGGGAAGCCGGGAACCCGTGACCCACCGAAATCGGCCCGGAACCAATGACCAGCAACCCGGGAACCCCGAACCGGGAACCCGGGACCCCAGCGGGCCACCAAAATCGGCGGGATGTTTCCGCCAAATTTTTCAACGTCCACTAGGACCCCTTCAGTTCAAGCATTGATTGGGGAAGAATGGTCAGGTGGGGATGCGTCATGCTCTTTAGATTTTGTCTGACTATTTTTGAATATGTTTTATTTTCCTTCCAAAACCCGCCTGTAGGAGGACATGCCCGACCTAAGTCTAGAACCAACTCATCGGATCTCTGGGCATGCTCTTGCCAGGAGCAGTTCCTGGCAGCAGTTCCGGCCCACCTATAGCAGAGTCAGTTGTCGGCATCGCCGTGGACGTCGCCCGTTCGTGGCGGAGAAACGCCCGCCCAACAGTGGGCGGGTTCGGCGCCGGGCAACGTTTGCTGTTGGGCATCGTCGCCATCATGTCCGTTCCACTTCTGGCCATTGCTATGCTCCTCCAGGCGGGCAGAGGATCGAGGACCCCCCCTCATCTTGCTCGATCCTCCTCCACCCCTTCGCCTCCTCATCTTCCCTCCTCCCCGCGCCCCTCCCTCTTCTCAGGTGATCGCAAACATGGATCACGGGGGCGTGGATTAGCGACGGGTCCCGTTTCCATGGGCAATCGCGGATTCCCGCCGCCGAGCGAGGCGGCACCGGCCGCGTTTTGGGGAGGGCGCCTCCCACGATCCATGGATTTGGCGACCGCGCACCAAATCCATGGATCGCTCATCCATGTTTGCGCGCCCCCGATCTTCCTTTAGCTGAAGCAGCCAAGGGCTACCACATAGGAACCCATGCTCAGGATCGAACTCGTCTCGTTCCCCTCCGTTCCGTTCCCTGCCCTTTCCTCCCTCCTTCGCCCAGGCACCTTGGGAGGGCCCAGACATGCCGCGCGCTCCAGAAAGTGCAGCGCTTTCGGCACACGCCGCCTTCTGCGCAAGCCCGCGCAGGTAGAAAAAGGCGGCGCGCTGGCTGTCGGAAGGTCGGCGAAAGGCAGCGGAAGCAAATTCACCAGAGAAAAACCCAATCAGTGAAAGGTTTGATCGATAAGGAGATCGACTGGGAACCCGGGAAGCGACCCAGAACCGGAAGACGTGGAACAATTTGACCTTTGCGGAATTGGCCGACGATACAGGGTTGAACGATGCCCGCAGTGTCGGGAACCAACGCCGGGGTCAGCACGACACGATCCTGCCGTAGCCCACACCGCTACTCCTCGGGCCTCTCCCGGGGTTCTTCGTGATTGGGATCTCGAGGCGAATCCAGCAGTGGCGGCCAGGGGAAGGTCGGGGTGGCGGCATATGCCAGGAGGGAAAGAAACACACAGACACAATGAATTGTCGATCCCAAGGAAGATCTGGGAAAGTGTGGGAAGTGAGGGGGAAGTGCGGAGAAATATGGGGAATCTTGGGATGTGTGTCTATTTGTTTGTGTGTCCCTGGGCCCCTTCAAACTGTCCCTCCTCTGACTATTCTCCTTCGTGCCCACGTTGGCTCGAAAGCCTGCTGGCTCCACTCTTGCTTTTCGTCGGACATGCCCCTCCAGAGGAGGAAAATCCAATGATATTTCTAAAAGATGTCAGGCGACGATGCTTCATGCTCTTTTGACTGGTTTTGACCCTTTGTGGTCTATTTTGGACGTTTCTGCCAACATCCGCCTCCAGGAGGACAGGTCCGACCTAACTCTTGGTTCCTCGTCTCTCCGCGTATCGGACCCGCTGCCATGGCGCACTCTGTGGCGCGCACCTGCCTGCTCTTGGCCGCGAGCGCGTCTGCCCTGTCGCTGCAGGGCCGCCAGGGGGCAGCGTCGACGACCGCTGCCCAGCCGACCATCGAGCCCCTGTATCGCCCGAGGGAGAGAAGCGGCGTAAACATAAACTTCGGATGTCCGCGCGGGTTTCTTGGATCTGCACTGGAACACTCTCCCTCTCGCGCTCCGCTCGACATGGGCGGCGCCGCCGGTGGTTTCCAGCGCAGATGCAAGAACTCCGCGCGGATATCCAACAAGTTATGCTCATGCTGATATTTCTTGTTCGGCTATCCCGACGCCAGCCCCTGCAACCACCCGCAGTGCGACGGCGACCCGGCCCCCTGCAACCTGATCGTCGTCTTCCACGGCGACGTCACGGAGGCGCAGATGACCAGCCTCGCGACGTCGAAGGCCCCCTCGGCGACCCCGTCGCTCATGCCCGCGCTCAAGATGATGACGCTGGGCTTCGGCACGGACACCGCGAAGTGCGTCTCGTCCTACCAGGCGGTCAGGACCTCGCTCGAGGCGGGCGACCCATTGCTGGGCAGCGTCGAGTTCGACAGGAAGATGTGGGTGCGGTGAGAGCGCGCCGGGGGCAATCCTTCCCCCCCCCCTCCCCTCGCAGCAGGCACAGCGGCAGGAACATCAACCTTGGGAGTTTCGCGTGAATTTCTTGGATCGGCGGGACCCCCTGGCGCGCCTCTGGCTCCGCCGCTGGCGCGCTCCGCGCGCCAGGGAGGGGGGCCCAACGCCGATCCAAGAACTTCGCGCGGGCCTCTGAAAGCTCCTGCTTCTGCGAATTGCTGTTCCTGGATCCTCCTCCGCTGTCATCCTCCGCCCTGTCCAGATGCGGCAAGTAGGGGGCCACATGCGAACCCTACCCCTACCCCCCACGATTTCTGAGGGGGGGTAGGGGTAGGGTTCGCATGTGCCCCCCTGGCAAGTCCCAGCACCGTGCCGGCCCAGAGCTCCGGGCGGCGACGGTCGGAGGAGCGCGCGGGCAAGGCCGCGTCACGTGCGGCGCCTCGTGCCCTGAGGCCTTGGGGCAGCCGCGCCGTGTCGGGGCGGTCTCTCCCCCTGCTCGTAGTGTTACGTCGGGCCTGTCCCTCGGCAGGAGGAGGATTCAAGAACAGTAAAGCGATTCTGTGGGGACATGTTCTTGGTATTCTTTGAGCATTTTGGAGTATTTTTGTTGACTCTGTTTTTTATTCGTCGTCCAAGATCCCTCTGTAGGAGGACAGGCTCGACTTAATCGTAGTCGTTTTCATCCCATCCGATTCGTTCGTCATCCTCTTCGGGGTCCTCTCGGGTCTTGGGGGGCACGTCTTTGGGGCATCGTTGGGGCCCCTCCGGGACCCCCCCTGGCCCGTCGTGGAGCGCTCCTGGACGGCAGTCTGGCGCCTTCCGAGTCCGTCTCTGGCGCCTCTCGAGCCGTGTTGGAGCACTCAGGGTCCTGGAGGGTTGTGTTGGTGGGCCGTCTTGGGGCCTCCTTGGGCTTTTTCTGTTGGCCGTCTTCGAGGCCTCTTGGACAATGCTGAGAGCCTCTTGGCCGTCTCCATGCCCTCTTGGGGGCCTCTTGAAGCGTTTCGGGGCCATATCGGAGCGTCTTGGGCCGTCGTATGCTGACGGAGGCCCGAAAACGCGAGAACGCGAAACTCAGTCAAGCAGGTGGCGGGAATCTACTAGCTTGACCTCTTCTGGCCCTCCTGATGTCCTCTTGGAGCCCACTTCGAGCCGATTGGTACTAGGCCGTCTTGAGGTCGAGTGGGGTCGTGTTTGGGGCTGTATCGGCTGCTTTAGAGGCATATCGTGCCATTTTGGCGGCCTTGGAGACCTTTCGTTGCTGTCTGGGGAGCCGTGGAGAGGCTTCTAAAGCCCCAGGGATGGTCCAGCGCGGGCCAGGGAGCCTTGCGGAGGATGGGGCGGTGCATGCAAGGAAGTGCGGGTAGGTGGGGCGGCCTTGGACGACGACAGATACCCTACCAGACAGCACTTGGCACTCTACCACGCCTCACAGTGCCAGGGGGCATGGTGGCGATTTTGTCTATGGTAGGTTCGCGTCGTGTCGCCGCTGCGGAGACGTCTGCGCGGGTGTATAAGGTTGGAAGGTTGATGGTGGCCTCAATTCGACCAGTATTGAACGGTCACGGTCGGCAACAGCCGGGATCGTTCAAGGTTGAGGGATCCACGCGGTTCCAACAAGCGCTTTCACGCAGATCGTCACGGCACGAATTTGCAGCAACCCTCCATGACTCTTGCTCCCCACCCGTCCTCCTCCTCTTGCTCCTCCTCCTCCTCCTCCTCCTCATCCTCCTCCTCCTCCTCCTCCTCCTCCTCCTCCTCCTCCTCCTCCTCCTCCTCCTCCTCCTCCCCCTCCCCCCTCCCCCCTACTCCTCCTCCTCCTCCTCCTCCTCCTCCTCCTCCTCCTCCTCCCTCCTCCTCCTCCTCCGCTCCTCCTCACCTCCTCCTCCTCCTCCTCCTCCCTCCCCCTTCCTACCTCCTCCTCCTCCTCCTTCTCCTCCCCCTCCACCTCCTCCTCCTCCTCCTCCTCGTCCTCCTCCTCCTTCCACCTCCTCCTCCTCCTTCCTCCTCCTCCTCCTCCTCCTCCTCCTCCTCCTCCTCCTCCTCCTCCTCCTCCTCCTCCTCCTCCCCCCCACCCCTCCTCCTCCTCCTCCGCCTCCTCCTCCTTCTCCTCCTCCTCCTCCTCCTCCGCCTCCCTCCTCCTCCTCCGCCTTCCTCCCCTCCTCCTCCTCCTCCTCCTCCTCCTCCTCCTCCTCCTCCTCCCCCCGTCCTCCTCCTCCTCCTCCTCGTCCTCGTCCTCGTCCTCCCCCTCCTTCTCCTCCCCCTTCCCTCCTCCTCCTCCTCCTCCTAGTCCCCTCCTCCTCTCTTATTCCTCCTCTTCCCCTTCCTCCTCCTCCTCCTCTTCTCCTACTCCTTCTCCTCCTCCTGGTCCTCCTCCTCCTCCTCTTCCCTCCTCCTCCTCGTCCTCCTCATCCCCCTCCCCTCTCCCCTCCCCCTCCTGGTCCTCCTCTTCCCCCTCCTCGTGCTCCTCCTGCTTCTCCTCCCTCCTCCTCCCCCCTCCTCCCCTCTGGGCCAGGCGAGGCGGGGGGGCCTTTAGGGGGCCCCACGCCGGGCAGACTCGCGGTGCCCCAGCGTTTGCCGCCCCTCCGTTGGTAAAAAAGGGACGTCCAGCAGTGACGAGACGTCCTGGCTAGCGTAAAGGCCTACCAAATGCTGTTGTAAGATCAGGCGGTCGCAAACATGGATTCAGGGGGCGTGGAGTAGCGACACCTCCCCCGATCCATGGATTCGGCGGCCGCGCGCCAAATCCATGGATCGCTAATCCATGTTTGCGCGCCTCCGATGAGAGCCTCCCGTGAGTTGCATCACGTTTTTTCAGAGCACTTCTGGCACAACTTTACCTTGTTTAATACATCGGGCTTCTGTTCTAAGAACCTTGTTTTTGCTCTTAACATTTTGGTGTTCTAAGGAGAGTTCGTGGTAGGCCCTTGGGAATGCCGGGACGACTGGCCCGTGCTCGAGGGAGGGCGTCGGAGTCGAAGAGGCAGGGAGGACGAGGTCCGCCGCTGAGGGGAGCGGGCCAGCCACGCGCAGGAGGGGGGGGCATGCTCAAGAGGGGAAAAAACACACAGACACAATTAATCGCCCGCTCCCAGTAAAATATGGGAAACTATGGGAAGTGTGGGGGAAGATAAAAACCCAGAAACTATAGGAAAATATGGGGGATCCTGGTATTGTGTGTATTTATTTGTGTGTCCCAGGGCCCCTTCACATGCTCCTCCCAGATGGGGCGTCTCGAGGCAAATATCGGCGTTTGCGTGCCAGAGCGTTTTCCTTTGAAGAGCTGGGCGCCCTGGGCGGACGGCCGAAGGACCCCTGCAGCGGGACGCCCTGGCAACAAGGCTGCCGCCGCGAAAGACTGCCCGTTTAACGCTGGTGCCGCGCAAACGCGGCGCCGAACAGACTGCGCCGCGCAGGCTCGCGCGCGCCGAACAGACTGCGCCGCGCAGGTTGTTCCTCGTTGTTTCGGCCCCGCTGGGGGCCGCCCGCCGGGCCCCGGGGCCGTCACAGGAAGAGGGCCCGGCCGGGACGAGATGCGGGCCCCGCGGGAAGGGGCCGGGGCTTCCGGAGGGCCCGTGCCGACAGAAATGAGGGCATCGCATGTCTGGGTACGGGGGGGGGGGAGGGGGGAGGGGGGAGGCAGGGATCGTTTCGATTCCGCCGATTCGATGCGACTCGATGTCCATGGCTTCTGCTTCCGCTTCGATTCGATGTTGGTTTCCGATATGGGTTTCCGGAGAGCCCGTGTCGATAGAAATGAGGGCATCGCATGTCTGGGTATGGGGGGGGGAAGGGGGGAGGGGGGAGGCAGGGCTTGTTTCAATTCCTCCGATCCGATGCGACTCGATGTCCATGGCTTCCGCTTCCGCTTCGAGTCGATGTTGTTTTCCGATTTGGGCTCCGATTTCTCAACGGCGGCCTATTAGCCTGCCGGTTTCCGCCGATTTGATTTTCGGCTTTCGATTTCCGCCGATCGGATTCATTTGGATCGCCGATCCGACTCATCGATTCGATTCTGGGTTCTCCTGGGGGAGGCTTCTTCGCAGCACCCCTGCCTCTCAGGTGGCGTGGGCCCTTCTCCGTAGACGCAGGGCCAACGCCTCCTAGGAAGCAGCCTCCTTCTATGAAGCCGCCTGCCCCCCTAGCGGGAGGAACGGGAGCAGGAAGAGCGGCAGGAATTCAGACGAGGTTGAAGCATTGGGGTGTGGGGCGTCTTGTTTTCCGTGTTTGGCTTGTCGGTGTTTGGCCAGCCGCCACGACGCCATAAGCGGTAACCGCACAGATATCAGCAACAACAAAGCGGCAGTACAGCACGGAAGCGGTCCTTGAAACAGCGCGAAGGAGAGAATTTCCAAACGGAGAAGCAGGATCCCAGGACGGGAATCATCTAGGGGCAGCGGGGCGTCTTCCCCTCCCGCGCGCACCTTGCCGCACCCCACGCTCGCACGGCGCCGGCAGGCCGCGATCCCTCCGCAGCGTATGTCGGCGGCCCTCGGCCCCGCGGGCCTTCGTCGGGGCATCTTGTGCCGCAAAAGAGGCGGCGGCACGCAGGGGCAGCTGGCGCACAGGTGGCACATTTCGAGCAGGGGATCGTCTACATAATCGATCTACGCCAAAAACTGTTCTGAATTGATCTACGAATAGATCTACAGATCTACAGGATCGCTCTACAGAATGGGTCTACAGATCTACAGAACTGATCGTCTACAGAGTCGATCGACTGAATCGATCTCGAATCGCTGATTTTTCGCTGCGGCCCCCTGGCGGCGGCGCTGCCCCTGGCGCGTTGCGCGCGCCAGGGAGGAGGGGTTCCAGCGCAGATCCAAAAAATCCGCGCGGAACGCCCAATGAAAGTTGTTGTTTATGGTGTTTTTTGTTGGTCCTCCAGGTTAAGGGGAGGAGGAAGGCTTCTTAGAAGGAGGCTCCTTCGGCCTTCCTATACATGTGAAGTCGGCGCCTTCGAATAAGCACCCCCCTTCAGAAAATCTCCGAGACGACGACGACGACGACGACGACGACGACGACGACGACGACGACGACGACGACGACGACAGCGCCGTCCTCCTCGCCGCCTGGGGCCGCCGGGGGTCTGCCGAACGCCTCCGAAGGGGGCTACCAACGGGCCGCCGAGGGCCGCCGCCGCCGCAGTCGTCGTCGTCGTCGTCGTCGTCGTCGTCGCGTCGTCGTCGTCGTCCGTCGTCGTCGTCGTCGTCGTCGTCGTCGTCGTCGTCGTCGTGTCGTCGTCGTCGTCGTCGTCGTCGTCGTTGTCAGTCGTCGTCGTCGTCGTCGTCGTCGTCGTCGAGCGGCGCGCGGCGGCGAGCGGCGAGCGGCCCGCGGCGGCGGCCAACGCCCGGCAGGCGCGCCGCCCGCTCCGAGGGGCCCTGCGCGGCCGGGGCTGCCGCCGCCGCCCGCCGGCCCAGCGCAGGCGCGGGCTCGCGGCGGCGGCGGCCGGCCCGGCGACGGCCGCGGCGGCGGCGGCGGCGGACCGCGCGGCGGCGGGCGCGGCGCAGCGACGGCGACGACGAGGGGAGGAGCAGACATCCGTCTGCGCTGTTTTACATCTGGCGCCTCCCCCTTCCCACGCCTCGTTGTTAGTGATTTGATGCTCTCTACATCGTTTCGTTTTCCTTTTTCTCACCTTTACCCTAATGAGCCCCCCCAAAACCCAGGTCCTTGCCGGGTGGGAGGGGCAGGAAAGGTGTGCATGGCTACAGGAGCACCCATGACCGCCATGAGTAAGTGAGACATCCGACGATGTGATCCCAGAGATCCTGGCGCCTCAATTTTGTCGGGCCTTCTGGGGCCTTCGCAGCACGATATGTGGCTCGAGCAATGTGACACAGAAGGATGGGGTCCAGGGCTCTGGTGTTTTTGTTGGCGATGCTGGATCTTTATTGCAACGTCGGATCTCGTGGATGGTTGAACTCTTACAAGGTCGCGGATTCGGTCGGTCGAGCCTGGCGCCCATGCGGCGCATTGGCAAATGAAAAGTTGCTTGTGATCAACTGCGGGGGGAAGGGAGGAGCAGGAGGGACGAGGAAGCAGGGAAGAGGAGATGAAGGAGCACGCCAAAAAAACAATTAGAGCCGGCGTTCCGGCAAAAACGAGTAGACACAAGAAGAATATTGTTTTTGGGTCTATTTCTGTTCCTTGTGTACCCGCATAGGCTAAGTAACTTTGCACCAGGCACACACGGTAGGAATTTGAGGAGGTTACCTTCAGGGAGTGCCGAAATCTTCCTACACAAATTCGTTCGCCGATCGCGGAGCGTTTCGGTGAGCAGCGGTTCCTGCGCAAGATGGACAACTCTCTTTTTACAAATTCTAGACACGTACGCAGTCGGGATCCTGAAAAGACGTCGCAAGCATTGCACGTGGAAATTGTCTGAGCGAGCTCTGTCCGCTTGCAGTGTCCAAAATCTCCAACAACCTGGGAAAGACAGTCGCCGCGTACAGCTGGGTTCTTCGATCGCGGCAGATTTCAGCGTGCGATCAACGATCCGACAGGCCGCGGATCACACATTACAGATTCCAATCGGAGGATGTCTGGGACAGAGACCACCTCAGCCACGCGCAGAGGGGGGGTGGGGGGAGGGGGGAGGGCTTCTTCTTCTTAGAAGGCGCGGGCCTTATCTATAGAGTTGAGGCCGGCGCCTTCTAAGAACCAGTATCCTTCTAAGAAGCCCCCCCCCTCCCTCCACCCCCTTGTGCGCGCCGCCAACCACCACCACCACCACCGAGAGCCCCGTCAAGCACCAGACGCCCTTCGGGCGCGCCACCGCCCAGGGCCGATGGCTTCACGGCAGCGGTGGCCCCTGCTCCCGGACTCCCGACGCCGTGATGTTTGCACAGCGTCCACCCCCAGAGGTCTGGCCCCCTTTGCCAGGACTGGCTCCTCGTCCCGAGCAGTTTTTTGCTGACGTCTCCGAGGTCCCAGGAAGGGCCTCCGGAGGCCGACAACACAGCGAGCGGCTTGGATGAGGAACATTCCTTTTTCAAAAGGGGCTCGGTCGTTCCTGAGGCGTGCATGCGTTGCGTATCGTTCCTTCTGCGTTATGTATGACTCATCGTTCCTTATGCGTGGCTCCTTGGAAAAAAAGGGTTTCGCTCCTTATTTGTCTTTTCTTAGGTCAGGCCGATGACTGTATAGTGAAATATCTCCGGTCGTGTTTTCTTCACAGCGGGAGGGGGGGTCTGGGTTCTTTGCCCCCGCGAGCGGCGCAAACATTGCGTGGGCCGCGGCGGGGGGAGCCGCTCGGCGACGGCGTGTCCCCACCACCAGGTTTAAGTCGGGCGTGTCCCTCTACAAGAGGAAATTGCAGTATACATACATGTATACACATATATTCATGTCTGAATAAATAGTCTGGGGACTATGTTTTTACGATTTTACGATTTCAGCACTTGTTTTAAAACATGTTTGACTATTTCTTATGCTTGGTAGAAAATCCACCTGTAGGAGGACATGTGCAACCTTACACCAGGTGCGGCCCGGCTCGCAACGTCGGCCCGGCGGGGCCCCCCTTGAGGGGCCCGGTCTCGGATTTTGAGCGGAGCTCGAGTGGACGACGGCGGCGATTGCGACGGCGGCGACGAGGATCATCGAAGACGATAAACGCCGTAAGCATAAACTGTTGGCGCTCCGCGCGGATTTCTTGGATCCGCGCATGGGCCCCAAGGCGGAGCCTCGGCCGCCGCCCCAGGCGCGCTCCGCGCGCCAGGGAGAGGGGTCCAGCGCAGATCCAGGAAATCCGTGCAGAGCGCCAAACAAATTATGTTTACGGCGTTTTTTTTTACAGCGGCAATTGCGACGGCGGCGACGAGGATCATCGAAGAAGAGAAACGCCATAAGCATGCGCTCCGCGCGCCAGGGAGAGGGGGTCCAGCGCAGATCCAGGAAATCCGCGCGGAGCGCCAAAACAAAAATATGTCTATGGCGTTTTTTTACGGCGGCAGCTGCGACGGCGGCGACGAGGATCCAGGAGAGCAGAGCACACCGATGGCGAGGCCCTTCCGTCGTTGTCGCCTTTTTGGGCCTCCGGGGGGGCCTCGTCGCCATGGCTGGGTTCGCCTCAGAGCCCGGGTCAAAACGCAGGATGTTCGGAGGTTCTGGGAGGTCCCCGAGCATCTTGCCTGGAGGTCTGCAGAGGATCAAGCAGGGCCAAAGTCATCCACAAATTTTGATAGTCGTGGGATTCGGTGAGAATCCTTGCAGAATCTGTGGCTACACCGCTCCTGGTATCCATCCTGGCCACGTATCAGCCGCGTCCAGAGCCTACGAGGGCCCCAAGAGGGGCCTAAGAACCTCTGGGCCGAGACGACGACAAGGAGATGGAGGAGGGGGAGGAGGAGATGGAGGAGGAGGAGGAGGAGGAGGAGGAGGAGGAGGAGGAGGAGGAGGAGGAGGATTAGTGGGTACGGTAGGTTCACGCCGCTTCGATTCGGCGACAC